TCAGGTTGCCTGCAGACTTATTTATTTCCTTTCACGCTCTTGGTAACCTTTGACCTAACTCAAGGTGACCACGTTCTGGAAAGGTTACGTTATCGAGCATGAGCCATCGATCGATAAAGGCTTTGAGTTGATCGTTCTCATGGGCCCGGAGCATGGTGTTCTCTGCACACTATTTCATCGTGGTTTTGGGCGTTTTTGTGACTCAAGTTTGTGTTGTTTGTGACCTAACTCAAGGTCACCACAGTGAGGAATGATAGGCTATCGACCATGACACTCGTTGCTGTTGGTGACTGGGTTGGTAGTTGGGTTGCTGCAAACAACCACCTTGTGTTGCTGCAAACAAATTTCGGTGGTGTCGGGTGTTTTTTGGTGACCTTTACCTGGCCCAGTGCCATTTGTTCTCGAAAGGAGCATACTCCATGTTATCGACCATGCTACATCGATTGGTACAGGTTTCGTGTCGATCGGTCCCAAAGGCTCAGATCATGTGGTTGCCTGCGAAGAAGCAGTGGTGGGCAGCGTTTTTGATGGTCTTTGACCTGCCCCAAAGCCGTCATGTTTTGGGACGGATATTATATCGACTACGTCACATCGACTGGTGGGGGTTTAATGCTGATCCGTTCCAAAAGCTTGGAGCGCGTGGTTGTTTCGGGCATTTTTGGTGACCTTTGGCCCGACCGAAGAACGCTGTTCTCCGGGAAGGCTCGATTTTCGACCAAGCGGCATCAAATGGCGAAGGTTTGGTGCCGATCGGTCCCATTGGCTGAAGCATGGGGCGTCAACAGGTTTTGTCGCCTGTTTATAAACTCACAACGGAGGGAATACTTATGACCTGTGACGGACGGGCTCAAGCGATTAACGACGTGCAAGTAATGGCGTGGCGGCACCCAGCCGTTCGGGTGTTCCCCCAACGTGGAATCACAAAGTACACGCCGTTCGAGGCAGTGTTCTGCGGTCAATCTCGTCTGGTATCCATGGTGATAACGGAAATCGATGTAATGCTGCTGCAACACCACCATGCATCAGGGCAACACGGGCACCGGAACGCTCGGCGCGACCAAGAGAAAGCTCCACTATCCTACATGAGACGCAGTCTGACGAACAAGCCACCCGACGGCGCTTACCAGCTCAGGGATGACCCTGTCCCCAACGTCGGAAGGGAGCGGGGCGCACAGCCAAGCGGCCAGAAAGTCCCGGCTCTCCCATATCAGCCTCAACACAAAGAAATAAACACGGTTTGCATGCAGGTCACCACGACAGGAGCGGCGACGCAGGGGTGGGGTTGGGGGCAGGGAGCCAAGAGTACGTTTTCGCTTCCCCAAAATTTGGAAGGGCTCTTTTGCTCAAACTTCAGGTTTGTTTTGGCGCAAATGATGATTGCGGTTGAGGCGCCCTTAAAGCTCCATAACTAATTAACCCAAGTTTTGTTTGACAAGCATGCCTTTATGCAGTGTATACACACACACACACACACACACACACACACACACACACACACACACACACACCACACACACACACACACACACACACACCACACACACACACACACACACACACACACACCACACACACACACACACACACACACACACCACACACACAACACACACCACACACACACACACAACACACACACACACACACACCACACCACACACACACACACACACACATATATATATTATTTAATATAACAAGTTTAAACATATTAACATAACATAACAAGACAAGTTAAGCATAAGTTAGAAATATTCGGATAAAGGAAGCCCCCATAACTGACCTAACACATAGCAAAACGGGCTCAGAAGACCGCTCTCTGCATCAAAGGCCTATTTTATGACTCGGGAGACCCTTTCATCATGAATATAGGTGGCTTATTGTCTGAATAATGAGGCCCGTTTGGGTAAAGCAGGCATCTTATTTATATTAGGAGACCCCTATCCTGATATCGCGCGAAGTTAGCGATTTATTTTAGCTATTAATATAAAGACCGCGTTCTGATTTCGCTGAAACCAATTTTAAACATTACTTTCAATAATTACACGAGATCACCAAATCTGCAGTCTATTTTGCACAACATCATTGACCGTCCGTCAAGTCAAGTCGAGGTCAAGGAAAGGCGAGCTCCATATCACAACAAAAGTTTCCAGCCAATTTTGACTTTTTCCGAATCAGAATATTCGCCAGCGCATGAACAGGCGTCTTTCAAAAAGTCCTCACATCTCACGGCCACCTTCCAAGGCCAAGTTCAGCTCAGAGAACGCGGAGCTCCACGCCACCAGAAAAGTTACCTTACGATTTTCGATTTTTTGTATCAGAATAATGCGCATGAATTAGAACCGGGATCGCCTTCAGTGCGTAGGCTAGTGTCTGTCAAGCAGATCCTGATCTCTGACCTTGAAGAATGGCCTTAATACTTCAGGACTTGTTGATGGACGCCAGTTCATCATTAGTAAATATGATGATGGTTAAAAATCTGAAATCGGCTAGTAACTTTGGAGTGATGTGGATGCTTCTGTCTTTGGCCACGCATTTGACCTTGAAGAGCATGTGATGTTACAAAAAAAAAACACGTCAGATTCGGTACTCCCGTACAATTATTCACTGGTTGACGTTTTTCAATAAAATCAAAGCCCGTTGCTAAATAAATCGCTAAATAAACCGCTAAATAAGTGGCTAGCTTTACGGTCCTATTCTGGGACAAGATGCACATTTTATGCGTCAGAAGGTCTCTGTTCCAGGTCAGGATATCCTTCTGGAGTTATGAGGCCATCTGTAAGGTTTGGAGGCCCCTTTGTGAGTCCGAACCATCTTGTTCCAAATTAGGCGGTCCCTCCATGCATTCCAAAGCCTATTTCTGAAAAAGGAGCCTCCATTTTTGGAACGAAGAGGCCTTTAACTGGGTCTTCAAGCCCCTGCACTAATCAGAGAGGCCCTAGTCCGTGTTCCTTCACTTGTCAACATTTACTCAGATTAGTCTGGTGATGTAACAACTTTATAAGAGAGCATGCATCCCGGCGCCACCTTGGATGCGCCACTGCCCAGGAGGCTTCATTCAGCCGCAGCCTCCCCGGGACGTTCCACCCCAACTTAAAATCCGTGGCGCCGCCGCTGCGCCATGATACATTCGCACGGTGTATAAAGGATGATCCACTGTCTACACCCCCAGAGCTGGTTGTATGGCTTCGCGGGTGGTCACCCCCACTCGCCGGGTGGCTGGGTCATCCGGAGAAGCTGGAGTTGCGTCTTGCGCCGCGTGAGGAGCGCAAGACACAGGCGCGTACGACGTTCAAAGCCGGTACTACTTCGACTGCGCTCAACTGTACTCAACTGCGTACTACAGCTGTTCTCACTTTGATACCACGAAATAAGGGATCTGAGCGATACGCTAATTGGTGCGGCAAATCCCCGACTTTCAGGAGGCATGCTCAAGTCCAGGCTGTGCGACATATGCCAGTAATCACGTCAGATCTGCTGTCTGGGCTGACCTGAGTCGAAGTCAGGCGGTACAGCAGGTCGTCCTCCAGCGCCTTGGTCTTGCGCTTGTTTTCCATCACGGCCTCGATGAGAGCCACGCGGTCCGACTCAAGCTCCACCTTCTCAGTGCGGATCACACGCCCTGAGAAGCCACAGGCCAGAGGCAAAATCACGCCACACTTCTTCACCACTAGGTGGACCAAGCCGCAAGACGCTCGCGCGTTTGCATCCGAGAATACCCTCGTGACGTGGAACTTTAAAAATAACCAAATGAAATTAGGTGGTCCGCAAAATGCCAGTAATGACACAGATAGAACGTTTCCGACGAAGTGCTGGCATCAAACTCTATCCTGGCAGGCCTTCAGGTCAGCTGCATTGATCCAACGAAGTTTGTTACGCTAGCTTTAATCGGCACTCGCAATCATTCATTGTTTCTAATCGGTGAGCACTTGAAGACCTTTGCAATATTTTCCGGTATGTTTTCGGTCACGAACATTTCCCATAAACCTGTTATAGCGTTAGCTAACAGGCGCAGTTTAAAGCCATCTGTGCAGAGCCTCTACTATACGGAAACCGGGTGAAATAACGCTGGCTCCAATGCAATGAAATTTCTTCAAATTTCATAAACATAGTTCTCCGGATCCTGGGGAACTGGAAATCGTAATGCATTGTCATTGTCTCAATGATGGCATACCATGCCTGTCAAAAACAGCGTCCCGGACAATGGAAACCCACTCGGGGAGGAGCGCAGTTCTCGAAAATCGGATGGGGGTGATTCAATCGAGTTGACTTACCTACCTCCAAAACCTGACTTTTCCCGGGTTTGGCCGCTTTGAGTTGCGTCTCCGATGTCATATTGAAAATAGAGAATGGTCGTTTCCAATAAGATTTTACGTCGCGGGCTAACCACCCATTTCAAGCCAATTTGATGGCAATAACAATGAATATATAATGATGTTATGGTTAGGTATGCGTTTAGGTAGCTCTTGTATCAGGAGCTCAGACATTTGCTGCATTTTGTTGGCCCAATATTCCCTTTTTGTTATATGCGTGGGGCATGGGGGTTCGAAGACCACTGGGGGGCCCAAGTCAGCATTGGGGCCCAGGTTCACTTCGCAAAGTATATAAAGTGGCACCCCTGCACCCGAGGCTTTTTTCGTTGTTTCCATCCCTTTGCACGCGCAGTCCCACAGGGGATGAAGACTGATACATGGCCACGTTGTTGGCCACGTGTCACATCGCACCAGGTCTGTTCGCGAGGATCCAGGAGCGGCAGGACGTACCGAGCAACTGGTCCTCCAACCCCAGCATGGTGACGGTGAAGTCGATGATGGCCGTCTTCGCGGCCACCTCTGGACTGTACGCCGGATTGGCCATCTTGGTGGTGATGTAGAGTGTGAAGCCGGGCATAACGTCGCACTCCTTGTCACCCACCAGCACCTGGCGAGCGGCCAGGCGTCGTAAGGAGACGCCAGTTGATCGGCACCTGATACCAACAGGTAGGCGAAAACACGAGACGGCGCAGCAAGGCACCAGTGGTAACCAGAAGCGCATGATATCACTAAGGCACATTTCGTAAAATCGCGCTGTGTCGAGACTGGGTATGTAAACCTAGCACTGTACGTGAAAACGAACCCAATATCTTGTCACACGCTGGTCTACGGCTAAGCGCAAAGCAGACGCGTCGATTTTGATGAGACGTGAGACATGAGATATAAGACATGAGACAGATACAGAAAACATAGGCAGACAAAGTAGACCTCAGCAGCTGGCAGGCTGCGTGTAGCAACCTTAAGCGTAGAGCCAGACTTGATGAAGTTCTTCTCCAGCAGGTTATCAAGCACCGGGTCCAGCTCCTCGCCCACGTCTTCAATCAGCAGCGGCCTGCCCAGAGACAGACTGTCCTCCAGGTGAGCCCGGAAGTACTTGTGGTTGAGTGAGCTGATCTGGCGACGGTCCAGACGCGTGGGGTCAGGACGCCGGAGGATCAGACGCGCGGGGTCAGGGCGTCAAAGAGACACGCACGGTCAGGGTGGCGGCGCAAAATGCCAGGCAGGAATGCGCGCGCAGCGGGAAAATGCACAGACTGGGCCTGGCTGAGTTTCTTCAAGGAGAGGAGACAGTTGAGAAAACAACGAGCAAGGCCGGAAAAGGTGACAGTGCTCAGGGTAAAACGGCGACGCATTTAAGTTTGGGTCCCACCGCCGTGGCTTTCCTGGTAAAATACCGTTGCAAGCTACCAATGCAAACATTCAAATACACTCGGCAAAAGCTTTAACTTGTTCCACGTCCTCGTGGGACAGCCCTAATTACAGACATTCGCATGCTACCCGTATCCTCACTACAGTGTGCATACATACAGCGGTTATATCTGGACTTCCGTGGCCGTGTAAAAACTACCACGGAGACCGGAGACCCAGGACGAGACCATGTCCTGAAGGCGGATCACCAAACCAAACGCTGATCTGAATGCACAGCATAGCTGTGAACCAGCTGCCGTGGGCGGTAATTCACACAGCACTGACCCCGTGACATGGCGGCAGGCCCGGCCGTCGCCCTCAAACCGGCCTGGTGGAGGGCCGTACCTAGACACCATCAGACCGTCACCGCCGCTCTCCGGTCCCGCCTGAACGCACCCCAGCAGTTGGGAGTCATGAGAGCGTGCACACAAGTCCCGCGTCTCAGGCACACACGGAGGTCTTTCGCCGGCCCCGGCCTCCGTCCCGCCGTGGTGATAACACGCGTCGGCAAAAAGTCAAGCGACCGTAAGCCGCACCTGAAGCTCGTTGGAGGCCTCTCGGTTCTTGATCCAGGCCTTTCCCTGGCCCTGTGGGTCGATCATGAGCGGGTAGCAGCTGGCCTGCGTCGCCACGATGCCGTTCTGGATCGACAGCTCGTCACTGGGCAAACCCTGCCGATGGCGGACGGGTTAAATAGGTCAGCAATAGCGCGGCATAACAATGAAATCAGGATACTGCGGTCACAAAGGAGACTCAACAGATCGATCCACTCCACATGTGACACCTGAATGCTTCACATAGCCAGTACGCAGAGTGCAGCTGCGCTGGTTCACATGGAGTGCGCTGGTTCGCGCCCCTACCTGCAGACTCCACTCGGCCACGGTGGCGTTGTCGCAGAGCATGCTGACGATGTTGAGGGTGGCCGTCATCGGTATACCCCGCGACTGCAGCACCTTCTTCCAGCTGGTTTGCAGGGCGCAGCGGAACTCCTGGTTGAACGGGCCCGAGTACGAGAGAAAGGCCACCGCCAGCAGGGCGTCTCCCACCAGGCTGGCGGCAAAGCGCGTGCAGCACTGCTCGTCACAGCCGCCGCCGTCGCACTACAACAACGTCAAGTCATTGGAGCTTACGACGCACTCAGCTACTGACGCTGTATGACGTCGCCTGCCGCTCACCTTGGCAGGAAGGGCGGGCACCGCGTGGAATCGAACCCCGTACCTCCAGCTTCCCAGACGCGCAGCTTAACCACCACACCACCAGTATCCCTAAGTAGCGTCGTGTTACATTACGAAGGCCTCGTCACTACCGCTAAGCTAAGGTTCCTCTGGATTAGGCTGCATGTCACAACTTCCGCGTGGTGTTCTCATATTGTGTACACGTTAGATGGTTGTCTCCAGCCTGACCCTGAGCCTCATCATCAGGAGCGTCACGAAGCTGCTCCCCCCTCAGCCCGCCCCCAACTCCGCGTCAGTTCCGTCAGTAGCCGTCGCTGTCGGCAGCTCACCGTCCCATCTGCTCCTTGAAGGCCTTGCTCTGCTGCGTCCAGCGCACCTTCTCGCCGCCAAGGCCGTTGATGAGCTGGCTGGCGGCGTGCATCTTGCGGCGACATGCGTCGGCCGCCTGCGTCAGCCGCGTCGTCTCGGCCACGGCCCGGTCGTACTGGGCCTTGACGGTGGCCAGCTCGGCCTCCTTCTCGGTCAACTCGGCCTCGGCCCTGCTCAGCTCGGCCTGGGCCGCCGACAGCCGGGCGCCCTGCAGCGCCAGGTTCGCCTGCCGCCGCCGGCGCGCGTCACGCTCAGGTCGGACCGGATCGGTCGGATCCAGACGGCGCAGCGACGACGCTTAGCGCTACTCCGCACATCAGTGTTTCGACACGGACTGGGCTGCTTCTCAAACGTGCAGACGCGTTCACAATTCATCGTCCGATTTCCCCTATCGTGCCTTCCGTCGCTCACCACACAGAACTACGGTCAATTCCTACAGCTGGCCACAGATGAATTAGCGCGGCCCAGTGCGACACCCACGGCCATTTGTGTGCGATCACTGCACACATCGCGCCTCTCCAGCCTCGTGGAGCTTACCTTGAGCGGCAGCACCTCCTTGTTGACGCCGAAGAAGAAGGACATGGCGCGGGTCCACGAGAGCAGACCGGCCACGTCACCGCACACGCGCGTAGCCGTGTCCATGTTGTAGTCCTCCATGGAGAAGTAGGGCTCGAGCAGCTCGATCATCTCGTCGTTGATGGTGTCCTTGGGGTAGGTCTGCAGCTGCTGCAGGAACGTCGTGCTGGCCATCATCTGCGGCGGCGGGTCAGGTCAGGTCAGGCACGGTGCTGGGTCACAGACGGCGGCGCGCTGAGGCGCGACCCCCAGCAGGCCCGTACGCTCCAGGCGCGTAACACAGGCGGCCACATTCCGGCAGAAATACTTTGGATCAGTCGGGAACATCACAGTCGCACAGTCGCTCCTAAATGAGCGCTTAAATATTACGACAGAGGCTTCGTGTCAAAAAGGTTCACGGTTTGGAGACTCGTTACTTTCTTTCAAGGCGGCGCGGCATTACGCAACGAGCGTTATAAACCACGAACTAAACTAAGGCTGTCGATTCATGTTCGTAGTATGATTTCGTTTTAGACTAAGGCAGCAGCCGGCTCGCAGCAAACGACGGCTTGCTCGTTCGCATGTTATGTTGGCGTTTCCGTTCGGCGACTAACTGGAAGAAGCCAGTGCCGCAGGCTGATGGACATTGATTTTCTGTTAGATCAAGGTCGGGCATTTGTGAACGAGTTGCACGTCCGGGAATCGATAAAACGCAACGCGTCAAGGCCGCAAACCCATCACCGGTCACGTCCCGTGACGCATTCATGCTTCATGTAGCTCACAGCGGGCCAGCACCCGCGGCGGGTCTCAATGAATTGTGAGGGGCATCCAATGACCTTTCGGGTAATATTTCTGAGGAAAAATAGATGAGAAGTATGGCAGACCTTAACTTAAAAAGCTAGGGGGTGGTTTAAGTTGATTTGGACGGCTGCTCCAGTCACGGAAGAGGCTGCGGATGCACTGGCGCCATCTTAGGTCATTTAGGCCATACACAACATGACTGCAAGACTCGGCTTCGTCCATTCTATCTCGCGTTCGAACTCTGGAATCCCAGCGCCAGTTCATTTGGAAACTAATGGATACTGCGTGGTGCAAATAAAGACAAGCGTTCGTGATCACATCCATCCAAACGGGCAGAAGGCGAAGTGAATGGCATGAATAATATTAACATAATTTACAGCGGACTTTCATGTGCATTTTTCGAAAGCAAGCTGATCACAGCAGCTAATCTTTCAGCTTAACTTCTTCGGTTCCTGGGATCACGAAATGAGGACAGTGAGCCGCTGCGTGTGAAGCAAAACAGAGACATAATGCGTTTAACCTCGAACCAACAGACGTTACCTCTTAGCCCCCGAGCCGCTTTCAGAGCGCCTTGATCCGGGTCGCCTCCGGACAGCACCCTCATCAGCTGGACAGAGCGGGATTTAGGACAGACAGACATCTTCAGTGACTAGACCCAGGAGGGTTTGGGACAGAGCGCCCGTGGGCTCGGGACACGGTCTGCTCACCTTCGGTGACTCGACCCGGGAGAGTTTGGGACAGGGCGCCCGTGGGCTCGGGACACGGTCTGCTCACCTTCGGTGACTCGACCCAGGAGAGTTTGGGACAGGGCGCCCGTGGGCTCGGGACACGGTCTGCTCACTTTCAGTGAATCTACCCAGGAGGGTTTGGGACAGAGCGCAAGTGGGCTCGGGACACGGTCTGCTCACCTTCAGTGACTCTACCTAGGAGGGTTTGGGACAGAGGCTCGAGGGCTCGGGACACGGTCTGCTCACCTTCAGTGACTCGGCCCAGGAGAGTTTGGGACAGAGAGCCCGAGGGCTCGGGACACAGTCTGCTCACCTTCAGTGACTCTACCTAGGAGGGTTTGGGACAGAGCGCTCGAGGGCTCGGGACACAGTCTGCTCACCTTCAGTGACTCTACCTAGGAGGGTTTGGGACAGAGCGCTCGAGGGCTCGGGACACGGTCTGCTCACCTTCAGTGACTCGGCCCAGGAGAGTTTGGGACAGAGCGCTCGAGGGCTCGGGACACGGTCTGCTCACCTTCAGTGACTCGGCCCAGGAGAGTTTGGGACAGAGCGCTCGAGGGCTCGGGACACGGTCTGCTCACCTTCAGCGACTCTACCTAGGAGGGTTTGGGACAGAGCGCTCGAGGGCTCGGGACACGGTCTGCTCACCTTCAGCGACTCTACCTAGGAGGGTTTGGGACAGAGCGCTCGAGGGCTCGGGACACGGTCTGCTCACCTTCAGTGACTCTACCTAGGAGGGTTTGGGACAGAGCGCTCGAGGGCTCGGGACACGGTCTGCTCACCTTCAGCGACTCTACCTAGGAGGGTTTGGGACAGAGCGCTCGAGGGCTCGGGACACGGTCTGCTCACCTTCAGTGACTCTACCTAGGAGGGTTTGGGACAGAGCGCTCGAGGGCTCGGGACACGGTCTGCTCACCTTCAGTGACTCTACCTAGTAGGGTTTGGGACAGAGCGCTCGAGGGCTCGGGACACGGTCTGCTCACCTTCAGTGACTCGACCCAGGAGGGTTTGGGACAGGGGGCCTGCGGGTCAGGTTTGACCGGCTGTAGGCGCTTCTGGAACAGGATGAGCACGCAGTCCATGATGCGCATCACCAGATGAGGAGGTCGACCCAGCTTGCGCACCGTCGCTGGAAACAGCAGGAGCACGTGACAAAGACAGCGCCTCCGCGCGCCCTCCATCGTATGAACAAGACCGTCGATATCGCCCGTTTCCCGACTGGCTGCAGTTTGTCCGCTACGCCGGCCTCCTACCTTAGGACTGGGATACATGCAGCTGACAGTCACCGCTGATGGAAGACTAATAGTGCTATATGACCGCACACTGTATAGGCGCCCAAATTCCCCAGAAGCCGATCGGTGATAGAAGATTAGATCGCCGATCGGTGATAGAAGATTAGATCGCTCCTGAAACGACCAAGATTACTCACGGAGTACCGAGCAGACGTGGGTCTCTTACGTTCTCTCGCAATTATTTTATAGGTGCCATTACTTACAGCGGATCTCTGATATGAGACAGCTAACCACTTGGTAATATGATATGGCGTAAACGGGAGCGAACATTGGCTCACTCAACGCCGTTGAGCGGCGCCACACGCCTGTGAGGATGTTTTACACAGCTGAGCCCCGTGCCAGTGGCGGAACCCACCGATGTGGGCCTGCTTGATGGTGTTGAGCGCCGCCTCCGCCATCTCCAGGGCCGGCCGCGCCAGCTCCAGCTTCTGCTCGGCCAGCTGCTTGTCGACGGCGATCTGTTCGACCAGCTCAATGGCGCGGTCCTTGACACGGACCACCTGGTCTCGGATGGTCTCGGCCTCGTGTGCCCGGTTCGTCACCGCCTCCAGCACCTGACACGCGGGAAGGCGGTCGAGAGTTTCGCATCCGGCAGCCGTGTGTAGCGACGCAGTGAAATACGAAGCAGCGACTCCATGATCTCGGTCGCTAAGGTAATGAGGAGAGTGGTCACCAGTAGAGCGACAGGCATTCAGATACGCGGCTCTTAAAGAAAAAAACCCTTTGAACTTCTGCACATCCTCATAAGAGCCCAGCCATCCTCCCCATCTTTTGGGGCAGACAGTGACCGGGTACATGACCGGAGAGGAGACGCCTGCAGCGTCTGCAGCGTCTCCTCTCAGCGCACTCCGCAGTCGGACGGCAGCGGACCTGCTCGGCCTTGTCGGAGGCCAGCGCCAGATCGGTCTCCGTCACCACCAGCTCCCGCTTCAGCGCCTCCACCGTCAGCGACGCCTCGTGCAGCTTGGTGAGGCCCGAGCTCATGCGCTCGCCGAGCTCGCCGATCTCGGCGCTCTTGCTGCGGTACACCGTCTTGTACGAGTTAAGGAAGGACAGGTACGACTTGGGTGTCACGTGTGCGAAGCGGCGGAACCTGGCGGCAGCGGCGGCAGCGGCGTCAGCGACGTCAACAGAGACGAACAACAACATTAAGAAAAAGCGAGACGGCAGCGGCGTGAAGAATATCGGCCCTCCTGCACCTGACGCTGCAGTACACAGGCTACGCTTCAATTGGTTCTCCCGTCATACCTGTTCAGACTACAGAGCGTGTCAAACTTTGATGCAAGGAACAGATGAGGCCGCAGAAGAGGCCACCGGCCTTATGCCGGATTACACAGACACTGACTGACACTGATTGCACTGACTACACTGATGACACTGGTACACTGATTCAATGTGAGTTGAACGCCAGGGTCTGACTGGTCTGAAGAAGATCCAGGTACCGTAAACACACGAGGAAGAGCCGTACGCCGCGGCACGACTGACCTGAGGAAGAACTGGATGCAGTAGTCGGCCACCGTGTCCTGGACGGCACCCATGGCCTGCACCAGCTCCCGCCGGACCTCGGGCGTGCAGGCCAGCGTAAAGCTGTCAATGAAGTGCTGCGCCACGGCGATCAGCGCCTCCTTCGGCCACGGCTGGAACCAGTCGATGGTGCAGCCTGACACCAGGCTCGGGAAGCGCAGCGCACGGGAGCGGAACTTCTCGCCCACCTGGGGGGACAGGTGCGGCGCTCGGGTGACGTCCGGTGGTCCTGCCGTGTCTGTCGGGACGGCAGGTGACGGCCACTGGGCGTCGGAACTGGGACGCGTGATGACGGAGCGCCGCGTTCGAGGGACCCGGACGTACAGCCGACGAGTTCAGTTTGGACGGCAGCTGAACTGAGACCTGGTCGGGTCGCTCATAACACGTAAAGTCATGCCTTCACTCGCATACATACGTCATCTGTTCGCGCTGTGCGGTGTTCTGGCGAAAAAAACACATCTACACGCACATAACGAATTGGTACACGACACCGGGCGCCAGCACTCGAAATAACCGGGAGCTGAACTCCAGAAATCCCCACGACGGCATGTAAGCCTCATGCAGGATACGACCTAAAATACACAAATCATCGATACGTAGTATCTATGCGTACCATCATCTATACTTTACGCAAAAATACATACATTTATACGTACAAAAGGAATTGATAAAAGACATCAGGCGCCAACACACGGAATAACCAGGAGGCTGGTCTCCAGAAATCCCCACGACGGCATGTAAGCCTCATACAGGACACGGGACGCGTCGAAGCCGATCCGCCGGTGTCGACGCCGGATATAGGTGCCCGACCATCGAGCACCGGCTGAGCTGCTATCAGCAGCCAGTACAGCGCATCGTTCGTCTGATCGGACGCCACGGGGCGACACATCGGTGGGAGACGGCGGGAGCTGAGCCAGTCATATTGTAAATGCATGTGACCGGTCGCACATGAGTCTCCTTGGCAACCACAGCCAAGCCAATGGTGCCACCGTGGAACATACGAAGGTTCTGACAGCGACGAGCTATTGATTATTGTGCCTGACATGAAAGCTGCCATTAAGACATTTGCTAAGATGGCAGGTTCCCAACGATCCCGAGATGTGCCCGACACAACATGCCGAGAAGGTTGGCTTAACCCGGGGAATTAGCCAGCATGCAACGTCTTAGAATAGAGCCACTACAGCAATGGTTTCCCCTCAATTGAACTCATTGCCAGCATTATCAGACGTCCACCGAACAGCGGCGTCCTCAAGCAGAGCCTGCACCCGACAGAAGCGTCCTCAAACGGGACCTGCACCAGACAGCGGCGTCCTTAAGTGGAGTCTGCACCAGACATCAGCGTCCTCTAGTTGAGTCTGTACCAAACAGCGGCGTCCTCAAGTAGCCTTTACCAGACAGCGACTTCCTCGATCGAAGCCTGCACCAGGCAGCGGCATCCTCAAACGGAGCCGGCACCTGACAGTGGCGTCCTCAAGCAGAGCCCGTACCAAACAACGGCGTTCTCAAGAGGAGCCTATATCAGACAGCGGCGTCTTCAAGTGGAGCCTGCACAAGACTAGTAAGCTGTGTTCAAGCATCGGAGTACGTACAAAACAACCAGGAAAGGACAGGCACGGCACGGACCGGCAAGACTTGCTTCTTGCTAACCAGTAGCCTTAATGCTCCACCTGGTAAAAAGTGGTCTTTTAGCAAATAACAGTGATGTGAAGTCATACCGCGAGCGGAAGCAACTAATGATCACATCTGAGTGTGATGGATGTCCCTGTACGTAAGGACCATGTCCGACACGAGGGCCGAGTTCAGAGCGGGGAGGGGGGGGGGGTCTGGCCGCACATGGTGACCACCCCCGAGCGTTAGAGGGACGGGTACCGGTGAAAAGCAGAGCACGACGTGCAGGTTCTGCCGGACGCGGCAGAGGAAGTAGTCCTGCAGCGTCTCGGGCGTGGGCGAGCGGCGCGGGTGCTCACGCTTCATGATTGGCGTCAGCTCGGCGCAGATCTCCTGCGTCTCGTCCCGGCTGAACAGGTTGGAGATCAGCCCTGCCGAGGACCGACGCCAACTGTAATCGGCTCCATGTTTCAGGTAAAGTTCACGAACAGGAGCCATGAGTGGCATTAAATAAATATCGCTAGATATCTCGCCATCCCGATAGATATCTCCAGATGCGAGTCTGATGGCAGCGATGGATAGTATGACATCTTTTGCAAGTACGAGAAGTCTGACATAGCTTGCAAGTATTGCAAGTACGGTGTCCTTTGCATGTAGCAGCTACGACTTTATATGTCACACAGTTCACTGATCTATTTGTCTAGGCCCGTAGAAAATGTCGCACTTTGCCAGCATTAGCCCCCAGCTCATCTCATCAGGGGCCGAGTTACAGCCGGCTGAACCTATTACTGAACTCTCCGAAAGTAAGTCAGACTAGATTGGCCCATTTGCTTGGCTACAACGCACTGTAACACATACTTAAGTTAGATTAATGAATTAAGTGAGCTTGCTTCGGTACATCGAGTGGCTATTATTGATTCAAACTGGCGGGCACTCGGACCTAATCAAAGTTTTCTTTTGACACTTTTAACTACCCTATACCTACCAGATGCCAGAACGTTGTTGATGTATTCGAGAAAAGCCTCTTCCTTGATGTCCTGATCGGTAAAGATGAATGTAGTGCCTTTGCCCTGGACGCCGCATGTCCTGTACAACACCTTCAGATCTTCCATTAGATTGTTTGAATTGTATGACCTGTAAAACATGGTCCAAATAAGCTTAAGTCTGTGTTTTTCACAGATGAAATAGTTGCGAATCAGAAGAGAATAGAGGCATGATCTACGCTGGGAAGTCAGAGAAGGCCAAACGTGACCAACGAAGAACGAGCAGCCATCAAAAACTCAAGAATGACGACAGTACCACATACTCCCAGCTGGCAAAGGCAACGCCACAGTAGTCATAAACAAGGCAGAGTGCACTCGGAAGCTGGGCAGCCGTGGTGAGTGACAGGACATACAGCAAGCTGAAGAGGGATGCTAGATTAACAACCGAACGAAAGCTGACCAAGCTCCCGCGGGAGAACAAGAAGGGAGAAAACCGGACAGATGCTCGACGTGGACACCCAAATCATCATCACAGTGAGCCATAATTTCATCCGTGATGATACTACTTCGTCTCAATTGTTCCGCAAACCGATATCTGCGTTTTTTACGCAGGTTCTCAACCAACGAGGCATTTAGCGTGCACTATGAAAGCTAAATCACTGCTAAATGCACCTAATATGTTTCGCATCACGCGCGTAACTGCATATAGGACGTTCCAGAATCCACACAGGCAGTTCGAGTTACATATGAGCGATCCTGAAAACGTTGAGGAATGACAGTGAATGTGTCCACGCCTGTCGAACGTGTCCAGTGGCACTGCCTAGTAATTGTTCCTAATGCATGCTTCAGAATGCCACAAAAAGTTAAAATCACTTGCTGATAACGAAATTCCCTCAAATTAACATAACTTCCAACTAAACAAACCCGCCTAATCTGAAGCTAATTCTTTAGAAAAAAAAATGCTGATAGCTCTCTGCAACTCTGGGCACTGGCATGCAATTTGGCGGAACTTGTTTGAAACGGAGGATTTTGCACAAGATTGCGTACAAAACGGTTATTGGCACACTGCGGTTATATTTTTATGCTGTGTAATGTGAAAAACATATAATCAGCGCATCTGCTGTAGTCTCACACACACACACACACACACACACACACACACACACACACACACATATATATATATTATATATATATATATATATATATATATATATATATATATACAGTTTTCACACATCAAAAGACATATTAACCTTCATATATACTTCGGGTCATCGTATCGCGAAGCAAAGGAGAACGACGATGGACCGAGGGAGGAAAAACGAAGGAAAGAGGAAGGCTGACGACGAATTCCTTCAGACATCAAGCGTTTTATCAGCAGGTTTCCCGCAACAAAGTCATACCGATCACGGTCAGACGCTTTTGTCCGGCAGCTGTGCGATCCTGATCTCAGGAGGTATCTGCAGAGCAGAATACTCGGACCCCGATCACGGCGCGTGGTCCGGTCACCCGCCCACCCACCTGGTGGATGGTCAGGCTGAATGTCTTGTAGCTGGCAATGAAGGAGGCCAGCTTCGTCAGAGACTGCTTGCCTGAGCCGCCTACGCCCACCAACAACGCGTTTCCGCCAGGATTGCGTATGATGCGCGAAATCTGCGACGACGCGAGCTCGTTAATCAGACCGGACAGGCACCGTCAGTGTCAAAACAACAGTTGAAGTGGCATTGCAACAGCCCGTTCTCTGAAAATAGAGAATACATACAATGCGAGCTTCATTGCCTGGCGTCCGTTAAAAACGCCGACCCCTGGGCCACACAACCAGTTGGGATGTTTGATTACATGATACTTATTAAGAACTAGGTTATGTCGCCCAGAGTATAGTGGGACTTTCCGGGCATTACATTGACGAGACGCGCGTAGAATCCTCGTGAATCCTCGTGAATCCTCGAGGCAAATCGTAGCCCCGCGGTCCACCCACCCACAAACATTGCGGTCTCTCGAAGCGGTGCCAGTTCACTTGATGGGGTATCGCCACTGAAAGCGAGCCTTTCCACGTAACCAGTAACCAGCATCTCCTCACCTTGATGAGATGGACCATGGCGTCCATGAAAAAGACGAGGTCCATGCCGACGCCGCGCACCATCTCGTTGTACTGCGCCTGGAACATGACCAGCCGCTCCCGGAGCGCCTCGAACGACTCGATCGGCTCGTACACCTTCGGCATCTCCATGTCGATGTCGTCGCCCTCGTCCCCGGTCGGTTCCGGCGCGTCCCTGCCGATGACAGGGGTCGTCAGGGACGTGATGGGGCGCCGATGCTCTCTGCCGCCGCTGCTGCACCAGTCCACAAACTGGTGACAGGAAAATGCGAGAAGGCAAAATAGACCGATGCCGTCACGTTGGTGGGCGTTAGTCCTGTGATTTGGAGACTAGACGCCAGCAAACGCAGCAAGCAGCGCAAGGTTCTAGCAAGAGCCTTCACCTCACAGTTGGCCCTGTTCTGGACGCTGACACGACATATTCAGCCTTACCGAAGGAAATCAACGAAGAAGAGGTCCTGTTTAAGCATGTCTGCGTAGCTCAGGCCCAGGTACT